ACCTACATGTGGGCAAAATTTCAGGTCGAAACTCCTTAATTTGATTTTTCGGTGAATATCGTATCATAGGTGATAAACCCAGTAAAATGACCATAATTCGAGAAGGAAGGCCCATGGGCCCTTGTCCTTTTGGGCTTTTTCTAATCTCATTGGACTCTACTTATCGGCAAAATATCGGCTTAAAAGCTTTGAATCACTTCGAACGGTTCCCTCGTTAAGTACATGTAGTTGCATCGTCTTTTCAGACAGCAAACGTGTTCACTACTGCAGACTTTTCGACCTAGAATTTCAGTGAGTCACAGATATACGTAGTTGAACAACTTAGCATGTTGTTGCAGAAAAGAGTATGAGTCAATAGATATGGCTATGCTAACTTGTACATTCAAATAGATTTGAAAAGAATGAAGTGTTTTTTGAAAAACTTATTACACATTCACTTGAATGAGAAAGAGAACGCAGCAAACGATGGGTAAGAGTGTCTAGACAAAAAGTAAACTGTCGATGATTGGTGTTATACGTTCTCTACTATTTCATCAAAAAGCTCGTTTGACTTCTCTAATATTACATTCTTCATGCTCAGAAAAAAAAATTGTACAGAAAAATAATTGGCATTAATTGAGTAAAATTTTGCTTTTTTTTTGCAGGAAACGAAACCACTATTTCTTTCGTCTATTTCGATTGGTCACAGCATGATTAACTGAATCCGATGAATCATGCTTTTCTTCGGGCACTGTTAGCTAATTTCGAGAGCCACCTTCTTAGAATAACCATCACGATGTACAATTGTCACTGGAACATTCCTAAGAACAACTAGTGTAGTTGATTCGGTATTTATTCCATTTTAGTGAAGAAAGGTGTTTTTTTCTATCAGATCGATCTTACCACCACCGGGCACGTTTTCGTTATTGCAGCGTGAATTTCTTCAGAGTTGACTATTTATCTCTTAATAATATTGTGATAAACAACCTTCTCGATCATTCTGTAGTGCGCAAAAACTCTTCTCATCCTTCTATATCATTCACCAATGAGAGCGCCACGAAATGTAAGAAGAACAAGTGGTTCGATTCGTTGAGAAAGAATGATGTCATTGTTTCTAAAGGATTGCCCACACATGGATTATGTGCATTCTTTCATGATGATGATGACGAATGTGTAAATATGGCAAGCGTGTCGTGCGTCATACATTTACCCAGAAAGTAATGTATTACATCTTACAAAGAGATAGCTGATTCAAACAGACCTGAACAATTGCTGCCATGAGAGTTTCATTATATTGGTGATGCATCTTAATATGAACGGATCGATAAGATTGGTCAGGGAACATACGGTGAGGTATTGAAAGCACGATGTTGAAGGACAAATGAACTTGCTGCAATAAAACTGATCTTAATGGATCAAGAAAAAGAAGATTTTCCCATTACAGCATTACATGAAATTAAAATTTTACAAGGTCTCCAACACGATAATATTGTACGATTGATTAAAATGTGTCGATTACCAGTAGAAAATTTGTCTCGAAGTAAGTTCTATTTCACATTTAAATTTTGTGATCGTAATCTGGCCGGTATTTTGCGCAATGTACAAGTCAAATTCTCATTGGGACATATCAAGTCCATTATGCAGCAATTACTCAATGCTCTTTATTTTATTCATACAAATTATATAATTCATCGAGATATAAAACCTGCCAATATCTTGATTACACGTAATGATGTACATAAATTAGCTGATTTTGGTTTGTCAAAAATGATTATTCCACTGAATCTCGATCAAAGAAATCGATATACCTATCCGGTGGTCACAATGTGGTATCGCCCTCCTGAATTGCTATTATCTAGGTGAACGAGACTACGGTTCAGCTGTTGACATGTGAGGTGTAGAATGCATCTTTGCTGAAATGCGGACCCGTTGTCCAGTCATGCAAGGAGAGACTGAACAGCATCAACTTCAATTAATTGCAAGTCTGTGTGGTAGTATTGAACCGAGTGTTTGGCCCGATGTTGATTTATTACCACTCTATAATAAAATGAAGTTACTAGAAGGTGAGCGTCGAAAAGTTTATGATCGACTGAAACCTTATATTCAAGAGCCATTAGCACTTAATTTAATCGATCGATTACTGATACTTGATCCAAAACAACGAATCGATGCTGACAATGCGTTTGATTCCGATTTTTTTTATTCTGATCCACCCGTAGCCGATTTGAAAGAGCTTTTATCGAAATATCATTCAATGTTCGATTTAAAACAAACATCACGTAACTTAAATCATCAAAAATCCAAATTCTTGAACTTACCATGTGAACCAATTTATTAGGAGAGAGAAGAACAACAAAATGAAAGTGTTCTTTTTTTCTGTTTTTACTTGTTTGTTGCCTCTTAACAAGTAATAAAGACAGCACGTAAATATACAAAATATACAAGAACACATCGACCAATTAATTGATAAAATTTTATTGTGTGTCTTGAGAATGGCAAGAGTATTATCAGATTAAAAAGTCATTTATAATCATGAAAAGAAAAAAGATAAAGAAAGCAATTTTCATACTAATCTATGCTACGTGTGAAATGGTATCAAAACAAACAAGGAAAATTAATTATTTCGCCATTCATCCAATCAATTTCTCGAAGAGTTGAAGATGTAAAAAACCTCTGATCAAACACATATTATAATCAGTAAACACTGCGAGCTGATGGCAATATTGGCCTGCGAGAGCAACATATTTCTAACAAGCTAAATGGAAAATTACGAAGAGTTGAAACTCGATTTAATCTTAGTTGTTGTGGGCAAGAATTATGTAGTTTGTCGATTGATATTATTATTGACCTATATAATTTCTTCATGAAACATTTATGCATAACCACTCTACAAGTGAATGCATAGAGGACTAATCAGAATATTATTCCATATTGTTTCACTAAATGTAAGACACTTCTTCTATATTGTTATCAACATGTTGTCGAATGAACTAGAAAGACAAGCTCATGTTTGAACGGTAGTGTGTGACTCGTGTCTTGTCATTTGCGAGCATAAAATCGAAATTCAAAACCTATTAAGTTAACTTTCAATTTCTTTTATAAAAATTATTCTAATAGGCAACAATCTTAAATTTCAAAATTTGGTTGTCTAAGTTGTTTGAAGCTTACTTATATCAATTTTCATAAAATTTGTTCCTTCACTTTTACTCTTAACTAAATGCAACTTATAGAGATTGCTAGACATAATTATCACTATGAATGTCATGTGCATCTTTTGAACTTGAACACACCATCTAATTGCCATTATAATATGGAATCAAACATCGAATGGACACAAACTAGCTGGAGCGCAAGAGCATTTATATACAAAGATAAAGATTCAGAAAACGTTGTTCCAAAAATAATGACTACTTTGAAATATTGGTATTGATTCTCGTTGAAACCTCGCTTTGACTTTGATTAAAGTTCTTCTTCGCTAAGTTCAGACAGATGATTATTGCTTGTATATTATTAATATTACTTTAACAATAACGAAAAAAAAAACAAATTCACTAGTGAATATCTATACAAAATATTTAGTTCTCTTTCACAAAACTAATCTAACATCCAACTCATAATAATAATTTATTTTAATATTTAGAGTAGCTCGAAGACCAATTATTATATGCATTATCAACTTTAGATTAATTGAAAATTTAAAACAATTTTATTCTACTCTAAGTCAATTTTCTTCATGTTCACAAATGAGAAGTAATCGGAGAAAATTCTCACCCATACCTTCTGTTTGTCAATAGGCTTTTACACTTCATGAAATGCCTGATTCGTTCTTGCCCCAATACTTTCAATTCGAGTATTTCAAGATAAATTATTTTATTAGAAAATATTGAAAGAGAATTGAATTTCTGAATTATTATATAGTCACACTGATAAAGAATCAAATATATCTATTTTAGTTTAACATTGAAAATCTTGAGCAGAAATACTGCCTGATGAAAATGCCTTGGTAAGAAAGTCTTGTATAGCCCATTCCATGGCTCCATTTCGGCTCAGCTTTGTATCACGTCCTTCGATACCTGGTGCTCTACCATCGCATCGAAACTTGGCATCCCATTTCCATTTCAGCTTCGAAATACGTCCTTTAAGATTGCCAACACACTGCATACCAC